GCAGTAGATCCCGTTAGAACGCAGTAGATCCCGTTAGAACGCAGTAGATCCCGTTAGAACGCAGTAGATCCCGTTAGAACGTAGTAGATCGCGTTAGAACGCATTAGATCGCGTTAGAACGCATTAGATCGCGTTAGAACGCATTAGATCGCGTTAGAACGCATTAGATCGCGTTAGAACGCATTAGATCGCGTTAGAACGCAGTAGATCGCGTTAGAACGCAGTAGATCGCGTCAGAACGCAGTAGATCGTGTTAGAACGCAGTAGATCCCGTTAGAACGCAGTATATCCCGTTAGAAAGCAGAAGATCCCTTTAGAATGCAATAGATCGCGTTGGAACGCAATAGATCGCGTTAGAACGCAATAGATCGCGTTAGAACGCAACAGATCGCGTTAGAACGCAACAGATCGCGTTAGAACGCAACAGATCGTGTTAGAACGCAGTAGATCCCGTTAGACCGCAATAGATCCCGTTAGAACGCAGTAGATCCCGTTAGACCGCAATAGATCCTGTTAGAACGCAGTAGATCCCGTTATAACGCATTAGATTGTGTTAGAATAAATAATAGATTGCTGATCAATCCATGTATTTTATGATCGGTCGATTTAAGGACGAGGTAGCTGATGGAAAGCTTGAAAAAACGAGCTGAAAGGCCCTACTCTACAGCCTGGGTCCATGCAAATATTGTTTTCATACAAATTAGCTAGATATTGAAATCTTGTAATAGATAATGAAACATATTCTTTGGTGTGACTGCTATTGGGAGTCTTGGGTCAGTCTGAGATACACGTTAGTACATAGCCTAATTATTTTCAATCTTGCAGAGTGTTGATCATCAAGAGGCGTCACTTCATGTACAAGCTTGGAGCCATGAATCTATCTAAGAGAGATATTTTGGCTTATTTTGAGTATGAAACTTTGCTTCTTGAACTTATTGGCGTGAGAAGAAAGGTACGTTATTTGATGAGTTTTGTTTTGTTAACTCCATTTTGATTAAGTTTGAACTTGTGCTAATCTGTGCCATTAGGTAAAGGTGCAAGTATAATTTATATCTCTGTATTTAATCTGAAGGTGAACAAAGAACATACCATGTTATATTGATCATTCAACTAAATATTTTTCACAATGATTTCTGCACAAGCATCAACCTTTATTAATCTAATAGTTTGGTGGTTTTATGTTTTTATTTTTTGCATTGTGCTTATGTTGACCATAAAAATATTGATACATTTTTATTACTAATTTGGTCAAAATGAATGAAATTGTACTTTTTTTCAACATTATTACTCATGAAATCATATTGAATATTCACTGTAGTGTACTGTAGTAAATATCTATATATATTTAAAGCATTATCTATATGATAGGGGTTTAAATTTGGCTTTTGTAAAACTTTTTTCCCAAAACTTTATGCAATGCCATTGTTTTCAGAAAATGCGAATGTTTGAGAAAGTTCCACAGATTGAACACTGTATTTTCAAAAGACTTCACAAGCTGCTTAGTTTGGCTACACAACGCTTTCCTCATGACTTGCAACTATGGGAAAAGAGGATCCGTTTCTGCAAGAGCATTGGCTTCCCGACAGTTGTAAGTTCAAAATAAAGGAAGAATAAAACCCTTAAAAAATAGGTTTATTTAGTTGTATAACATATACCATAATGCTTTCAAATACAAAATATATATCTTGTAGTACTGTAGGGAAAATGAACAATCACAGAATTAAGTAGCAGTGTTTCAAAGCATTTTTTCCAGTATTAATTTTGAGCAAATGCTTGTAACATTAAAATTTGAGAATAAAAGCTACTCAGCCAAGACATAATTTATTCAAGTTCAAATGATTCTTTCATGAAATGCTGTCTTGTTCTACTTTTTATCTTTGATTACTTATATTGCCATGCATTATATATGTCTACTGGTTCCAGGTTTATCATGCCTACCGAGAAATGAGCAGAAAGCATCCACGCATTCTTTCTGTGTGGATTGACTGGGCTCGTTATGAGGTCTCCATGTTTGGCAAATTTGAAAAAGCCCGAGAGATTTTGGTCTCCCAGGCAGTCATGCACCATCCTGGCAGTAAGCCTCTCTTCAGAGAGGTTCGCAGAATACTTTTTATTATTTGTACAGATGACATTTTTTCAGTTGGAAAGACGCCAATAACAATGTATATAAACGTAGGATGTGCAAAGAATAACCCTAAGTGACCACTGTCGTCTTGTATTGACTATTTGAGTATGGTTTGGTAATTATTCAAAATTCTCATCCATTCTAAGTAAGTATCATGTGTCAAAATTGATTAATAATTGAGTGTTTTCAACCTTATTTTCATGCTTATTAAATATTTCAGATATTCCGCTTTGAGCTGATGTATTGTGAACATCTGTTCCATGGCCGCTACACCGGTGATCCAGCCAATGATGGCAGTGTTGAAGTTCTCAGTGATAGCATGAGGAAAATATTTGCTTGTGATGGAGCTCGTCTGGTGTTTGAAGAAGCAGTAGCTGAGCACCCTGATGTATCAACTGCCATCGAGTTCTATCATGTAGCCCAGCATTTCTCTTTTGCTGCCAAGTTGACTGAAGAAATTTTTCAGTGAGTTATATAAATCCTTTCTTGATTACCTGCTGGACTATAGTTTGATTAATCAAATTCAATTTATTATGTTTGGTAACTAAATTTTATTACAGTGAAGTTCTCTTCCATTATGATTATAAATTTTTCAATTTTGTTCCTTATTATGACAAAAATTACTGTACAGTGATATTTACAGGAAAATCTGTCAAGCGCACGATGGAAAGGCTGAGGTGAGACTGTTGAAGGCTGAGCGAGAAGCCCTTGAGTTGCTTTTGGATCCTCTGGAGAATGAAGATCAAGAAGAGACTTCAGCTGGGGAGGAGTACCTGGCTCCTTACCTGCTGTATGTTCAAGCTCAAAAAAAGAAGAAACTTCAAGCTGGTTTTTTAAAGTTCACAGCTGAAAACCGAGAAAAAGCTGTGAGTAGTGAATTTTGAAAATTTATTTTGGAAGTCTAATGCACTGACTACAGTTAGGCTTATCCTTTTCCCTACCTATTGATATTTTTGTCATCTTGTCATTTAACGTATAATTGTCTAATTTTATGTTTAACATAATGTTCAAATAAATAAATAGTCCATCTCACCTAATTTTATTCAGTAGTGTGGAACATAGTTTTTATCATAACATTGATTAAATGTTATCATTGAGCCTTACCACTGCAAAGCTACAATTTATTTTGATTTGTTCATTTAATTTGATTTCCACAGCTGCACCCGTTTTTGTACTCCACTCACTTATCACTCAGTGGGCAATCCAGCGGGTATGTCAACTCGAATAACCTCGTTGCCGGCATAAACTTCACTGAAGATGAAAACTCCCGACTCACTACATTATTTATGAGAGAAATATTGAGCCTGATGTATTATACTTGGAGATGCAGGCAAACACTTCACCTGCTGGCTGCAAGACTTGACAAGCTGTGTGATCCACAGATATCTTCACTCATGCCCAAGCAAATGCTCGTATGGGTCAGTGATACCATACCTTGTGCTGGTGTCGATATTCTTGTTGTACTTCAGACAAATCTTAGAGTGATGAACAATGAATTACCTAGCATGTAATACTATTAGCTGCGTAAATCATCCTAATATTTCTCATAAGCTGATAAATGACTATATTGATGTATTTAAGAAAGTTGATAAACCACCATAGAGATGTTTAAATAGTTTTATGAACATAACAGGTGACTGTTCAGCAAGAGTTCCCGGAGCTGGCGTGGCAGCACAGCACACAGGAGTTGCTGCAGCGCGTATGTGACGGCACGTCTGCTTGCGCTGCAGTCTACGCACTCGCTCAGCTGGCCAAGTCGGGCAGTGGGGGAAACGCCATGCTTATTGAAGGTTATTGTGATTATGATTATATAAGGCAATTACAATTACGATTTATTTTAGGTTATTGCTAGCATTTATTGTCTGTGTTAAGTGAGTCAGCTTGTTATTACTCTTATATTTCCTGGGTTTAGTAAATAGGTGGTGATTATGCTTGTTGAAGACAAGTCCATTACTTGCTGGCGTTTACTATAGTATTGTAGTAAAGTAGTGCCTAGTGTAGTAAAGTAGTATAGTAGTGCCAAGTGTAGTACCATATAGTAGAGTAGTGTCGGCGTTTAGGAATAGGCCAAGTTTGGCCTGTCACCGAGTCTTGTAATGCAGTATCTGTGTTTAGTAAGTCAGGTGCTAGTAATTACGCTTATTGACGGTTATCTTGCTGACTTTTATTGACTTTGTATAGAAAGTTATATTGCAATTATACTTATTGGGGATATTTATTGTCTGTATTTGGTAAGTCAGGTAGTAATTACGCTGATTAGAGTTACATATTGTCTGTTTGACAAGTCAGGTAGTAATTACGCATTTTGGAGATGGATATCGTCTGTGTTTGGTAAGTCGGGTAAATTTTTTAAGAAATCAATGTATTTTTATTTGCAAATTCGTTTACTAATAGGATCGTTTATTCAGGTTACAAAATTTGACATTGATGAAAGAAGGAGATTTACTGTAAATATTAGGAATGTTTCTGGTAGGAACAAATGTGTACGTTGTTTTTAAAACTTTTATGTATAGCTAGAATGATCCTTGTATTAATTATCGTTCACAGATGTTCTTGCTAAGCACGACGAGGCAGAGAGTTAAATGAAGAAACTATTCTTATTGATTGTTGCATTATCTAAGTGAGAAGCACAGTGCTTTTCAATCAGTTAAAGAAGTTGGAGTCTCTCATTCATGAGGCGTAGCACCGTTCAGCACTGCGTTTTGTGCCAAGATTACTTTTACGCCAACTTTTTAAAAAGCATCTTATTATTTTTCAAACAAAAAATTTGTTTAAAGGTTTTATTACATTTGGAAATGTACAAATTTTTGGAATGAAGGATATATCAATTAACGGTTGTATTTCTTGAAGTGTTCAAGAAGCTGGAGACTCGCCTGCCTGAGGCGTGGCGCCACTCCGCCTTGCGATGCGTGTTGGGTGCCCTGCAGCCTGGCCCCGAGCGCATGAGCTTCCTGGAACAACACAGCAACATTAGGAGCCTCGACCGGGTCCTTGTGACCAGCACCAGGCTGGCTCTTCTCTGGGCCACATACCAGGAACATGGTCAGTTATATCTTATAGAATTCCTTGGCAAGTAAATACGGTTAAATAACACTGGTTATGAGTTGATTTCGTCATAACTACGATCTATCAATCATATTTTGACCCACCTGGTGGTAATAATAGTCTATTTTAATTCGCTTGATCTTTGTTTGCTGTGCAAGTTTCGTGCAACCTTGAGTGCATTTGGTAAACATTCCTGTAATTATCTTTTACCCAAAATTAAGTTCCAACCTACGGGAACTTAATTTTAGACGTTTACGAGACATTAGCATGTTTAGCACAGGTTATAAGATAGGTTACATCTCATTCTAATTCTTTATTGTGGACGTTGCTAAGAACTTAGTGTCTGTATGGGCAGGCTTGTCGGCAGCAAGAAAGGTGTACGCCAAATACGAACTCTTCCCCCCGTTCTCCTCTGAACTCCACGCCACGATGTGCTTTTTGGAGCTGGGAGGCGACGCCAGCGTCCCTCTTATGGAGTCCATGGCAAAGTCACAAGATTCTCACGAGTACGTAGAGCCTGAAGATCAATGGGGCATCGATACCAAAGGAGACGGAGGAGCTTCTGATCAGGAGGATGAAATGAAATCTGTCAAAGAAACCGAAAGTGTGAGTGGCGAAGAACAGGAAGATGCTGCCAGCGATGAGGAAAGCCCGGACGAAAATGAAACTGAAAGTGTGAATGTGGAAGAACGGGAAAATGACCTTAGCGATGATGAAGTTGATAGCGATGAAAGTCAGGATGAAGTAGAAACAGAAAGCCTGGCTGGTGAAGAACTTGAAGATGATGCAAGTGAAGAGGAAGTGGAGGATGAGGAAAGCCATGATGATGTGGAAGGTGAAGACAACGATGGAGCTGAAAGCTCCAGTGATGATGAAATCAGTGACCATGAAGCGAAAATGCAGAAGCGTTTCCCCGTGAAAAAGAAGGAGACCAAACTCACTAAAAAACATGAGATTGATGTTGAAAGAATACGACGGATTTTCAAGACAGTGATTCGTCTACTTGGAGGAAAACATCATGGTAAGCTACTGGTCATTTAGTTTACCATTTTATTTAAATTGAGATTGCCATTGCATACCACAGAGTATTTTCGTTAACAAAATCTGTAAAATGATTCAAACCAACATTGATTCTCAATTGATCTCAGCTCAATGCTTCTCACTTTTTACATTTTCAAAGTATTGTAATTTGATATATGACATAATTTTTAGTGAACAATTTTCATGTTTACAGAGGTGTGGTTGGCTTACCGCCAGTTTGAAGTGCAGTTCGGAGACACCAAGAGTGTCTCTGGCGTCAATCAAGACGCGGAGCACCACATGGATGCCTGGTGCCTCCTCGCCTACAAGAATTCCCTGCTCGACATTCAACATGAGCGCTTTGTGGTGAGTGCTCTTAATTTACTGCAACTAAGGTATTTTGTAATTATTCGTTGTTTGGCTGTGTTCCCGCATTGTTATGTTTGCTTGAGTTGCCTTGTTTATTATTATGTAATTGGGTTGTTGATTTGCTTTCAAGGGTGAAATTTGTTCAAGTTCTGCCAATAATTTGTATTTTCTTCTAGGACGCGAGCGAGACAGTCGAGCAACTACATCCTGAAGGTGGCAGTGTCATCAAAATCACAGTGCCTCCGAAACCTTCATTCCTCAGGCAAATGCCTAAGAATTTCATAGCTAGATTAAACGCGGCCGAAGTGAAGCAACGTAATGCCTTCCTGGCTGCCATCGCTGCTATAGAAGCCCTTACCGATGACAGTGAGTGGTGTAACACCTCGCTTTGAGAGGGTGGTTTTTCCAACTGACAATGAATTCATTACTTCACTTGATATAGGTACCGATAATTCTGGACTATTTTATATGAGAGTGGCGTCATATTATCGTGATCTATCTTGGCATTTTATATCATCAGCCATCAATGCCACTTTCCTCTGTATTCCTTTATGGTTAATTGATATTTTTACCACACTTCTCTTCAACTTCACTTATTGTTTGTTTGTCTGTCTGCTACAAATCTTATAATCAATATTTGACACACTTCTACCTGTCTAATAGATCTGAAATTTCGCCCACTTGCGTAGAGTTGGAGACAATGCATGAATCAATTGACCGAATAAATAATAAAATTTAACAAATTCTTTTTTTCTCGTTCTTAATATTAAAAAATTTACAAATAATTATTATAAGTTTTAAAAATAAAGTAAAAATTTATTGTACATGTGTAACACCAGAGACACTGGCCTCTTTAGAAGTGTTGTCATTAAAAAGTAATTTTTAAACGCATATTATTCATTATGTTATCTGAATAACACTACCGTTTCTTGGCTATCCCTACCCTTTGATATTTTTTATGTTACCTGGTTTATGCAGCTATTTCTAATATTACACTACGCCATTTAATTTCTAAGAACCAGTCTTGCCTGCGCCTCAGGGCCGTATTCGCCACGACGTGCTCACTCTGCTGCTGGACGGTCGGCTACATTTGATATTTGTTACCTTGATTACCCTACTGTTTCTTGGCTATAGCCACGTCGTTTAATTGTACAGAACCAGACTCGCCTGCTCCCCTGGGCCGCACGTGGTACGACGTGCTCACTGTCCTCCTGGACGGTCGCCACATTCTGCCTCGCCGCGCCCCAGAAGCGGAGTCACGTCACGTCACCGCCCCCATTGATGGCTGCTTCAGAGACGCGCGACTACCAGAATCTTCATCCTTCTGCGGGGTAGCCAAGGCGTCTAAAACTAAGGTGTAAGTGACCGCGCCTAGAGCATGCGCCTACTGATAACCATGTGACTCTGCCAAGTGACTGCAGTAAGTGCACGCGAGTAATGACGGCTGAAAGTGACTGCTAAAACAAATCGCGTAAACTACTGCTTTACTTATTTATAACGACTAAAATAAACGATGACTCACTTATTTTTGAATTGACTATGCAAATGAGTATAAATTTCATTTTAAGTAAAAATTTCAGATCTGTTATTTCATTGAAGAAGTTTAGTAAATAACCATGCTTGCTGACCCGTGCTTGATAATTGTTATGAGCATTACCTTGTTACTTTATTGTAATGAGTTTAGTTCATCCCACTTTCGTCTTTATTTCATTGTTTATTTTATTTTATTTTTTTTTTGCAGGGTGAAAAGCAGCAGTTCTCTAAGCCTGCTCCCCGGCGAGCACTGCTCGGACGCGGTGCTGCGCCACAACAAATTTAGTGCAGTTACTTGCCGCAACCCGCGGGACGATCTTGACGCCATGCTCGCCAAGTCCGCAACTCTGAAGCCTGAGTTCCTGAAGAAGAAGGCATTGGATTCAGTCATGTCCAAGAAGGCGGCTAAGAAGAAAGCCAGAGAAGAGCGCCAGAAGACTGCAGGCAAAGGATGGGATCACATGAAGGCTCCTGAGATGACGCCTGAGATCGCTAACGACATAGAGCTGCTCAAGATGAGAGGCATCATCGATCCTAAACAAAGGTTTAAATCCACTCACATGAAGGTTGGTTTACATAAAGGGATCGAAGTTTTTTATGATCCAGATTGCGATTGTATTTACATAGTCGCTAATGATATTCCAAATTAATGCAATTGTATTTCAAATTATTTCAGAAGCCTGTGATTTAAAAAGCTATATTGAACTAGATAATTCTTTAAATGATGAGCCAAAATTTAAAGAGATGGTTATCTATTAGTTGTATTGCTGGTCTTGTTCTAACACTGTATTTCCTGCAGGTGACGCCGAAATACTTCCAAATAGCTAAGCTAAAGGACGACCCAATACACTTCTACAATCGCCTCACCAAGAAGCAGCGCAAGCCAACTCTGGCTGAAGAGATCATCAACGATCAGGAGCTTGTCAGGTTTGTGTGGCGCAATTGCTCTCTTCTTCATTCATATACATAATAATGCATACATAATGAGTATATAATGAGAACGCAATAATAATTTCATCATTATTAGGGTTGGTTATTACTGAATGCCCAAAGTAGCTGTTGAGTTTCATAGGTGATTAAGGGAGTATACGGCGATATGTATGACTAAGACAGTATACGTTTGCCTCTTTTAACGTATATTCTAATTATTTTGCCATAATTGCAAGATTATGTTAGTTTGAAGACAGATAAGTTTGCTACTTCACTCGAACTCATTTTCCTGTTTATTTATTTTTGCTGTTGTTTCGCCTCGGGTAAATCTTACTTATCTTGATCTGCGAAGGCCTCTGGGGCATGGAACTCAGCTTTCTTAAATCGATCAAAAAACATTCTGAGTTGGTTGAAATTTCTTTTGGATAAATATCGACATTCAAACGGTAAGAAAAAAATTATACATTTTCCGTTATTCTCCACAGTTATCAGAAGAGGAAGTTTACACAGCTTGTGGCCGCTCGCGAGTCTCACCGTTCGAAGAAACGCAAAGCGGGTGGAGATTTCATTGAAATCTCGAAAAATGCTAAATAAATTTAACCGAACTCAACAAATATTTTTCATCCTATGGATTAATTAATTATATAAGCTTGAAGTCTCTTTATCTGGCTGCCCTCATAGGATCACTAATTTTTATACTTAGTATGAAGTCCAAAGGTGCGCGAGGGAAGTGCTTACAAATTATTATTTGTTCACCCGATTATTATCGATAGCACGTTTATTGGAACTATATAACCCAGACGTAATCTATTTGAAAATGTTGACTAGTTTCACGTGGATTTGAACGTTATTCAATTAAATCAATTCATAATGACTCGAAATTTTCATGCTTCAGGGGCATTGTTCATTGTTCTTTTTAAACACGAAAACCATCGCGTCGAAGCTGTTTGAAATCCGTGCATCTCACCAAGTTCTGTATTTGATCACTTCAATCAAGGCATTGCGATGAATCCAGAGACAGTCGCTGAGTTGTTTCCGTGCGACAGACTGCATGGCAGAAGTTGCTCGTCGTCTCTCGTCGGAAGTGGACAGTGGTCTATATAATCACCTTACGAAGGGTCTGTGTTTGTATTTAGGTGACTTACGGTGCCCTGCGGTTGCCAATGAAATTGTTCTCATGCTTGGCTCGGAAATTCCGGGTCCTGTCTATAAAGTAGAAAGTTATCCGTGTCTGTAACATGATTAACGCTGTTGCGTGGATGAAGTCTTTGAGGGTATTTCAGGAATAGAAATTGTTGAATTTGAGATTTAGCCGAGCATGGGATAAAAGTGATAATAATGATAATCCTAAGCTGGTTTATGTAAGTGGGAACTGCTATTGCCCGGGAAAGTTCCATATGTAATTCATTGAAATGAAACGGCGATAGCGTCCTGCCTTTTCCAGATTACCGGGATATCAGTATTCCTTGAACTAGATACCTGTCAGGCGGTGTTGGAATGAATGATAAGGAATATCAGCCACACCCTATGTCAACAGACCCAGCTTGATATAACAGATGTCTAATCCAACGTGTCTTTGAAATTGCGAAGAAATAAATAACATTTACAAGTAGTTGATTATTAATGTCGAGTCTTTACTAATAAATCTCTCGAAAACTACTTTACACTTAGTTAAAGTATATTTTAATATAATCGTCATGCGAGTCGAGAAAATTAAAAGCTTTTTAAATGTAACGTCGCGAGTCTCGGCAGGTGCCTTCGTAGTGATAGTAATGCCCGTGTTGAAGAGAAGGCTGACATGGTGATTGTTGCTCGGGCTTATATGGGCACATTTTTGTTGAAATTGTTGAGCTCCTTTCCAATCGGACGGCTAATTCCCATTGTTCATAATTTTTTTACAAAACTATAGTTATGCGGCGGCAAGCTCTGTGTGTAATCGATACATTAATTGCTTTCATAATTTCAATCGCGATCTTTCTCTATTTATAAACTCGAATGATTTATTTAATGCAAATATGTTATTTTTAGTCTATATTCAATCCATTTTTCAATGTGCAAAGATACGCATGTGAACAGCATAAAATTTCTGTGCTTACAACGTGGTAAATTCAGCGTGGCAGTTGAGCATCATTTGGCATCGTTCATAGGAATCCTTCCTCACGCTATTTATCATTTGAATAATTGAGAACGAACGGATCCATCCAGTCAATTTTTCTGGGAAAGTTTAAATGAGTGTTTAAAGAGAGAATTGGTAGCGTCATCACAACGGCAGTCACAAAGAAGCGCTCTCGCGTCGCATTTTCTCTGCTTTGGAATTTCAAGTCGAGAAGCACTGAGGCGACGGGGGGGTGCGTATGGCCATTTGCATTTAAATGGAATAACGCGCTAGGCAGAGAAGTTACGGACTAAATTGCCCTTCATTTACGTCAAAAACCAACGTTCGATTTGTACAGAAATTTGCAAACATTATAAAGGAAAGTGCAGGAACTTGAAGCAGTTTGGTTACTGTCTAACAGAGAACCATTTCAGATTTAAGCAGCTTTCCGCCATTTTTGTAATTTTCTGTGGATGGAGATAACCTTGTATTTCTGCTAATGCAGTTTTTACCAATTATTTGAATATGGTACCTTGAATTTTTGTATCTGGTGTAATTGAGTTAATTTTACCGTTGTTGTTTTATTCCAAGTCATCAATAAGAAAATATGCTATCAGGTGTCAGGCAGCCAATGACGTCATTCTTCTTTCAATTTCGAAATATTTCGATATCCTTTCGTGTTAAGTGACTTTTTATTTGAGTTCGTGTTATTTATGCTGAAACAACAAAATAATTTCAGCTCGTGTCCACTTATAGAGACCGCTCCGCTGGATCGAGTTCTGCATAAACATATTGGGAGCCTGGAGCTGCCTCTTTTTCTTTACAACCTGAAAGGTTAGCTTGATTTTTTGGAGAATTTTATTTGGGTTTTAATATTTAATTTATTAAATTGTTCGCGGAACTTTGTGATCGAACGTCAATGTTTTCAGCTCGTGATCAATTATGAGATTCGTGTACCACATTACGACTTCGTTGGAACGGTTATTTAAAGTTCAAATTCCCAAACATTTGGAAAAAAAGGTTAAAACGTTTCTAAATTATCGTAAGTTTCCATTGTTTTAGTCAAATTAATTATTTCCGACATTTGTTACTGCTTCAGTTGCAAATTCTGCCGCTCTACTAATTCCATTCCACAGCTATCCTCTCACCCGGTGACGCAGATAACAAGTTTATATATTCAAGTGTTTGGAAATAGCGCCTGCACAGCGAGGCTGTATATACAGGTGCATGCACACAAGGACAGTAGTGGCTCCTAGCACAGCTTTCAAATTCTAACCGCCACTACTTATCATGCCACTGGTCTCTTGTTAGGGGTTACTGGTTTTTTCATGGCCAGTAGCTCCTATACACTCGGCCAATAGCACGGTAAATAGTGCACTATACTGTCCTCGTGCGCAGGCAGTGCAGAACGAAGGCATTGCGGATTTAAATCGACTTGCGCATTTGGCACACGCAAATCCGGGGAAACAACAGCGAACGCTTGTTTTTGGTAAGCACCCAAATGAACAAAGATTTATACTCAAATGACGCTGAAAAGTTCAAAGGAAATTTCATTTCAAGGTGAGGCTATGCCGAATACTTAGAATCTCGTGAACATTTTTTCAAAAATACTTTTTGGAAGCGTTCATTTTTTTAATGTCAAAAATAGTCCAGTCTTTGTTGATGAAATAAAACATTTAAGAGAAATGATTTACTTGCTGCTGAATTCGAAGAGTTGACATTTATTGACACAAATATTAGCAACAAATTAAATTTTTACTATCAAATGCTCATTTAAACTTCCTCTTATTGACTGCGCACTATGGCGATCTAACTCCTTGACCAGCCTGAAGACCAGAGACATCGAAACACAAGCCCCGCAAGAAACCACACAGGGAATCGGAGTACACACAGAACAAGGTTAATTCTAGTTACACAAGCGAAATTTCTCGTCTGTCCAAGGCTGCTAAATAATGACAGGGTCGGCATGGCTGTCATGTCGCTTGGTCGTGCATTATGTTTTAGCTGCCATATACGAGTACTATATATGCACGTATATAGTACACTATATGCTATACGAGTACTGTATAAATGCACGCAATAGAAAGATTTACATTCCGCGAACGCTGAGCATCAAGTATTTTTTGTTTTTATTATTTTTGTTCTTTGGTTATTAGAAAGCAGGAAAATTTTTCGGAGAGATGTTAAAAAATTGCAGATAACCGAAAAAGAAACCACGAATAGTATTCCATCAGATATTTCAATTCGTCATCTAGAGCTTCAACTAAATATTGAATTCTAGATTCAAAATCCACTTGATTTGGATTAAGTAAATACTAAATTTTTTAGTTTTGGATATTCCTCTGGGTTACTGACATGTAATCTTCCTTAGCTTAATATTTCACCCTAAAACCAAAGCAGAGATTAGTTGAAATTTTACTCCACGCGATGGTTGACTTCTGGAAATGAAATATCGGAGAACATGAAAAGCTTAAACGTCATCATTTAGAACTGTATTTCTTAACGTTCCTTTATTCATCCATCACTCCCTAATGCGGACATAGGTCATGGTCGTAATTGAAATAGAAACGTGATAAGTTTCTCTTTTTTCTCACAAATGATCATCTTCTCAACAATAAACAAAAACATTAACATTTCCAATTATTCACTTATATGCATTGCGGAGCAGGCCACTAATGTTAATGCCCGGCGGCATCCCAAATTTGGTAGCTGAATAAATTTAGTTTTAATAACTTGAAATTTATGCATAAATTTGCACTAGCTTTTGACCGCTTCTGGCGAACCTCTGCGACCTCGAAAGCTGATTTGGTGACTCAGAAGCCGCCGCGCTTGAGGGGCTCCCGCATCCACAAGAAACCAGATTATTATTTTGCTACAGACGACGACCAGATGGTTATGATAATATGCGTGTTGCTGGGGAGCTCTGCTGGTGAATTTAACCTTTGTTCAAAGTTTAATGAACTATCGTCAATGTTATATGTACCTATATGTCTGGTAACGAGAGATACCGTCGCTGGACAACAGGTAAGCAAAGGTAAAACCCAATCAAATGGCGCTTATGCACAGGGAAATTATTAGTGGTAGCGGCAAGTACTTGTCACTTTAAATTTTGGGGTAAGCTATCTCAATTTTTTATGCATTAGTTTTAATAATTTTGCCATAATCGATAGTTAAAAGAAGAATTGATAATTCTTCTTCCAATTTTCTCTTGCCGTGCATCCCAATGCTGCGTAGAACAGAGCACTGGATTCAAAGTGGTAAAGCAGAGGCAACCGGGACGCGCCTCCTCAGTGCACACGCAGCAGTAGTGATGTGAGGAGGTGGTGGAAAGTGTCCGTAATGCAGTTCTGACGTGACGCAGCTTGTGTGAAACGTGGCGTAATTTACGCACTTGCTGAAGATGCCTGTGCATTTTTATTGATAATTTTCAAATAGTGAGTAGAGGGATAAAATATTCTCATAATATCGATGTAATTGAGCGCAAATAAAATACAGTGAAGAATGGTGTAGAAATG